CACACACACACACACACACACACACACACACACACACACACACACACACACACAGGAAGATAGGTCATATTATAATCCGCCTTCTAATTTCTTGCCAATAAAGAACCACCAAGGTGTGTGGGTGGCCTGCAGTCTCTTTTTGGTCACTGGACTGGACTAACAAACATATTGTAGTTACAGCCGAGACAGTAAACACAAACGCGGACAACACAGCAGGTTGAGTTATGGGAGGGCTTCATTGTGATTTAACCAAAAGGAAAGACAGTGGTACCAAATCTTAAACGCTTGGTATCAAAAATAGTCTCTGAGTTGGTCTCCGATCAGTCTGAACACTACAAGTGTGTGGGGGAAAAAATCCATGGACAGAGCATATTTTATCTTGTAAATGACGACCTATGGCTTCGGTTTATCTATACACACAGAGTCATGTACAATCCCATAACCAAAGCATAACAGTAACTGTTTTTGAAGACAGTCAGCTGAAGTCTAAAACGGCAATACTGTAAACTGTGTGTGCGTGCACTGGAGCTGGGATCCTCCGTGTTGGTGCTCCTATTGCTATGCTAAGAACGGTTTTAGTTGTAATTTGGCCAATCAATCAGACTAAGTCCTCACAACCCAACAACCGCCTCCCCACTGACATTACAGTAAATCTCACCAGGCACATACACACAAACACTTACACACACTCACTCACACACACACACACACACTTACACTCACAAACTGTGGAACCAGCCAAGTGCTTTGACATTATCTTGCTGCCTGTACAATGCCTGCATCAGTCAAGTTCATTAAGACAAATTCGTTAACATCCGACAGTACTTGGATTGAGTGAATTAATGAGCTAGAAAAGGCATACAGTCTTGTGTGAGACATACGATCTACATATATAAGTCACAAGAGTCCTTCACAATTATGGTGTGAACACACAGAGGGTTAAAGATTAGTAAGGGCTGTCCTGACACAAATTATGTATTTCTAAAGCTTAAGGACTAATACTCAAACATGAAAAATGCTGTAACCTTGATATGATGATGATGTAGTTGTTGTTGCACCAAATGTGGGGGGTAGGGGGGATTCACAGATACTCGAATACTTGTGAGTGTACACACAAACAAAACCTGTGATTAGTTTCTATTGCCTCTTAGAGTATGTCTGGTCTATGAATGGAAAAAAAAAAGCACCTGTGATGTACAGAACAGCCTAAGAACCGAGTTTAAGTGTTAACTAGAGACAGGCAACAATAAACACTGGCACACAGGCACAATACAGGAGGCTTTGGCACACCCATGCTAGTCGTACTACTCAGCATTTTCTGACACAGAAGGAAAGCAGATTACAGGACAGGACAGACCCATAGCTGCCTTAGATTTCCTTCCCCTCAATGGGGTAGGTACACGTTTTCTGACAGACAATGATGAGTTGTCACATTCTATCAGCACCATGCTGTCTATTTTTGGAGTCCCAGCCTCTCAGCCGATCAGCAACTCGAGGCTCTCCTCATAGTTGGGCTCTTGTGGGGGGCTGGGGGACAGGAAAGCTGTCGAAACGGGGGTCCCTGTTGCGGTGGCAACATTGAGGAGGGTGTTTGCGCGGATGCTGGTGGTTGCCGGGTTGCGGAGGGCGGCGGCTGCTGTGATGCTGGTGAGGTTGATACCAAGCGTAAGCCGCGTCTGTTCTAAGGCCTTCTCTGGCACTGCAAAGGCCTCGAGCTTTTTCTCACCATTGGCCATGTAGGAGTTCTGGCAACCTCGACAGATGCAGTCCAAGCATGCCTGCGAAAGATCAGAGAAAACAGACAACAGCGTTACTCTAGCTACACAGGGCCAGTGTGGCACAAACGATGCAAAGCTCTCAGTTTCTGATACTGTCACAAAAGAATACAAAAACCTGCCTTTACTAAGTTTGAATATTGATATATATCATATATCATGAATATATTATGAATATATCATCTAACAGCAGACTAATACATCATCTATTTTTTCCATTACTTGTTTTCTTTGGGTTAGAAACAAAAGTACTAAAACATCGTTGTCATATGTTTACACTAACACATAAAATAGCAGCATGAACAATCTACACAAACTCACATAATGACAGCATTAATCTTTAAGCGTATAATGTGCTCATTTAATAGATTAATGGTTTTACCTTGCGGTTTGAATAACAGGGACAACGCTGTCCCCTGCAGGTCAACACAGACGGATTCTGAGTGGCTCTTCCACATTTACAGCCCTTCTTCTCCACTGGCTTCTTATATGGAGGCCTCGCAGGTGCTGGAGGTACCAGGCAGCCTGCCATCAACCGCTGGTCTTTGCTTCTTTCCTTTGTCTTGGAAGCGCCACCAGTGCGAGCCTTGACATGTGGCTTCTTAGGGCTTGGCTCCGGATGTTTCCTGGCACCTTTATTGTGGTTCGGCGCAGGTCGACTGGGCTTAGGAGGTGCTCCGTTGGGAAGCGATGAGTATGTGTGTGCTGGTACTGTTAGGGAAGGCGTGGGTGGATGTGTGTGCAATGTGTGAGAGGGATTAGGAGTGTGTGAGTTTGAGGAAGAGCCCTGCAGGATAGAAGCAATCGGGAGAGGTTTCACTTTTTCCCTGTCACTCTCTGAATGAGATCGTTTGCGGTTAAGGCGGACTGGTGGGGGCTTGGAGGCTGAAGGAGGGTCAAAGGAAGATGTATGTGTGTGAGCACCATGGCCTGCCACTGTATTAGTCCTGCCTGTTTGAATCTGTGTGTAGTTGTGAGCTGCATCCAGCTGTATGTACATCTGAGTGTGTGCTCTGTCCATAGCTGTGTGTGTGTGAGTATGTGTCCTAACCGGCTGTGTATGAAGAGAGTCTCGACCAGGTTGAAGGGGATCCAATGTCTGTAACACCTCTTCCACACTGAGGAGCAACACCTCCCCCTCCTCCACTTCCCTGCTACTTGAATCCCCATCCCTGAGTGAGCACACAGTGCCTGGTGTTGGGGCTAAACGTCCAGTGGTCAGACTCAGTTCCAGTCCTCCACAACCGGTATTGGATACAGACAGGCCTGCCTGTCCCTGCTCCTCTACCAGCTCGCATACCTCCAGCTCAGGAGAAGAGGGATCTACATCCTCCAGCACGTCTCCATTGCATTCCTGTGGTCCGTTGAAACAGGGAGGATCAGAGGAAGAGCTCTGAGGTACAGCTGAGAGCTCTGCAGGAGCAGGTGGTGCCTCTGTGGGCGTAAGGGACTCAGGAGCTGAGGGATTCACATCTTCGTGCACTAGACTTGGGTCTTCCATCTCGTCTTTGTGCGACAATAGCACCTCTTCTAGCAAAGCCATTACCTCTGGAGACCCTCCTACATGGTTGCTGACACACAACAGCAACGGTGAATGAATTACATAGAAGCAGAGCTTCCTGTAACACTGCACCAGTAAAGAGAGCTGTTTGTTCTCCTGGAAGGAGGAGTGGTCCTTACAACGGCTGCATGATGGCCTTATCTGCATTTTCTGGCCTTTACAGCCCAAGCAGACATAATGCTGACACTCTGGATGTGTCTGAGAAATCGGATCCTGAAGCAGTTTACCTGAGAAAAAAATGAGAAAAAAATCCACCTGTTTAGTACCTTTGAACAAAGGCACAGTTACTATGGCACAGTATATAGCTGGCCATGAGACATTTATACTCAGCTCCACCTCACGTAATCATAGCTTTATAGAAACAGCTGTATTCTCAATTAGCTACAATAACCATTTCTTAATTATAATTCTTACAGATACATTTGTGATTTTTTAAAGCAACAACAGCTATAACCTAACAACTATAGCATAGTGGATTTTCACTTGGCAAGCAAAAGGTCCCCAGTTCAATTCCAGCTGGAAAGTCAAATCCCTTTGGGGTTGGGTCAGGAAAGGCACCGGCTTTGCCAAATTAAAAATGTGACAAGGGAGCAGCATAAGCATATATTATATCCTATAATGATATATCACTACCACAACATCACAGAGATGGAAAATATCCTGCTCTGTCTGATCAACAGTCAAGGACCCAAAAAAATGATCCAGTCAAAGTGAAATGAATCAGAGAAAGCTGCAATTCATAAAGGTGAAAAACCTGGAACAAGTGCTTAATTGATTAAGTTGGTATCAAAATATTTGATAAAAAGTTCAGTTAATGAACTTTTACCAATTTACCAACGACTTGTTCGGAATCTATATATCAACTGAACTAGCCAGAACCATATCTGCACCAAGCAAATAAGAACCAAATGAGCTTAACAGAAATATTATTGATATTTACTGCTTACATAACCAAACATGTAATTCTGACTGAATATTTCACAGGAGAATTAAGCATAGCAAAACCACTGTCAAATAATAGGGAAAGGTCAAAAATGTTGTCGCGCATAGCTGTAAATATTGCCCGTCTCCTCAGTGCAAGCTGTGTCAGCTCATATATTCCACTAGCTAAGCGGGCTGGTAAATAAAGCATGAATAAGAAACACATGGCTCTGCAGCAGGCACAACAACGGAGCAGTCATCTGTCTTGTCAAGAGGACGGATGACTGGTGCTCCAGCCTCGGTTGCCAAGGAGACCACGGAGACAAGAGCGACAAATCGTGTCACAACTGCTGCGATCACACGCACACCCACGGACACTTCAGTCAATATTAATGGTAATTATTTTTTAATACAATTCAGCCAATGTATGGCTCAAAACTGAATACAGTGTCGCAAATAACATTAAAGCTGGACTGAAAGTGTGTTGTGTTGCTATAATATTCTCAAATCACTTACCACAGACAAGACATGCGAGGGACTTTCGGAAGAAGGGCAGTAGTTTGTACATCTCTGCGAAGGAATGAGGCTGCCGCGGGTCGCACTGCAGCACGGCCCGGCTGGCAGACACGTAGAGAGCGGTTGCATTAACCGGGTTCATGGCGATGTGCTCCGCAGCCTCAGGGAAACACGGTCCGAGGAAGGAAAAAAATCCAGCGGCTCGTCGCAACGTAAAGAGAGCCCAGCCTCAGGGTGATGGAGGGGATGCAAACTGGTCTAGCGACGCAACAATCGGTCACTCCAGTGTGTCAAAAGAGATGTTAATCATGAATCAGTAATATATACAATATGAAACAACGACCATGGTGAGGCGGTTATCGCTAAACGAGCACGTTAGCTAGCTTGGCAGGTGGCTACCTAAGGTTAGCATCACCGGTTCGCAGTCATTACATTTAACCAGCGAACTCTTTCATATCACAGTTACAGTTCCTGTTAATTCGGACCTATTAGAGTTATAATTATACTCATCTCCAACAAAGTCTAAGGGCAAACGCTGACTCGAATGAGCAAATCACCCATAATTAAAAGGTTAGCATTACGTAGCTAACATTAGCTTACTGCATCAGCCGGACGTTTTGCACAAGAGATCATCGATGATAGCCATAGAGCCAATCTACTCTACAACCCAGTATCCTCGTCGATGTTTAACTGAACAACGGACTGGCGAGATCATGAATTCGCCGGGTCAGAAATCCGTTAACAGATTCCAGGCGCGCACTTGATGTAAACAAAGCTAACCAGCTAGCGTTAGCATGGCTAGACGATTTAGCTAGCGAAGAGTCAACCGTATCACTAACCCCCCTGGGTGGCTTTATACGTCGCACGTAGGAGCAAAATGCGACCGGCTAAGAAAAATTCTGCAATTTTGGTACGTTTTGCTGTAATGCTCGGAGAGAGGTGACCGAAACATAGCTAACTTGCCGTTTTGCAAATGCATCAATCATTCGATTTTCCACTTTTCCTCGCATAAACCCCTATCGACAGGCATGATCATCACGCGAGATTTCCACTAGTTACCGTGGTTACCGCAGCGCCTTTCCCGTGTCCTCCATCGCTTTATTTCCTCACTGTAACGATTATAATTGGTCATAAACTACGTAGCAACACGCTACTTAAAATGTATTTTTATTTTAATAAGAGGGTGGAAAAACTTCCTTAAGCACGGAGCTACTTTATGCATAACAATTTACATTTTTGGGAATTTTACCAGTTTTTTCATATATGTATAGAATACATTTTTAATTCGCAAATAAACGCTGATTCATAGGCATTATTATTTTATTACAAATTACATGTAAGAGGGTTAAAATTGGAGTAACCGGGTTCTCAAGTTAACATGACTGAAAGGATATATTATGTTTGTCATTACTGTTTTCTCAGAAAAAAGATACAGTTACTGGACTGTATCTTTGGACACTGGAGAAATATAATTATATAAATAAAAGAAGGAAACTAAAAAATATATATCTTCTTTTGGTAATACGGGTAACAGGGTTGCATTGGTTAGAGTGTCACACTCAGTCGAGTCAGAAAAGATATAGCTAAAAATACAAAATATGTCAAAGATGACTGACCTTTGGTACACCCGTGGTGTTAGCACAAGACTCATGTCAAATTACTTCTTCTTTGTCGTGCCATCTCACTGTTTTGTCTCCTCGTTTTACGGGAATGCGCATATACACAAGGTGCAGAGCATATGAAGATGTTAAAAAAAACGTATGTAACTGTTCGAAGAGACATGTATTAACAAAATAAAAACAGAAAAGGTGGATTTACAACTTATTTTAACTGTTATACTTGACATGCAATTTGGTGATCATGAAGTTGGGGGTAAGAGAAAAATGCCACTTTGTATTTAAATCGTATTTTGGAATCGCTTAAAAACTACGTTTAGGGCAGGTATAATTTTTATGTATTTTGTGAATTCATTATTTTCAAATTCGTGGTTGAGACATAAATAACCCTGCAATTGTAGAGTGACAGCGCTAAAGCTGGCAGGAAGGTCTGCTCTACAATATAAACTCCCTGTAACATGACATCCAAGATGGGCAGAGCTCCTGCCCACCAGCTGTTGCGAGGACTTTCTGTTTTCTGATTGGCTGCACGAGCTCGCCCCCCTTTAGCTATTGGTCAAAATTTCATCATTTGACTCCCCGCCCGCTGTTGTGCTAGAACTTGCAGAAAATAATGACCAACTACATTATTTTCCCAGGTTGAGCAAAGTGTATAAAACACGACAAAGAAAAATCAGCTCACAGCTGCAGTAGATGAAGTAAAAAAAATATGCACACAAATGGGGATTTAAACTGAAATATCTAAACCAAAAATCCTCAAGTCATCTGTTTTTCAAGGCAGCAGAAGATCACAAAAATTTCCCTATTTGGGGCATGGACAGCATTTGAGCAAGTATAGACATCTATGTGTCATATGATTTAATATAGTGGACTATATAAATAATCTGAGAACAAATGTCAAAATATAAAATATATACTTTATTCTGGGGTTTCAGGGATACACCTGGAAATAGGGGGGGGGAAAGCTTTTAAGAAGCCATTCTCTACTGCTCATCCAGGTCAGGATTGCAGCTGGGCTGGAGTCTATCCCAGCTGTTATCGGGCAAAGGATTTAAGGATTTATAGGGTTTTCATTGTATTTCCAGCACATGTATTCTCATGAGCTGAAATTAAAATTTGCAATCATGTCAGGTTTTTCTTTTTATTATTTTAAATAGGAAATATTAAGTACAAATAAGACATAAAACAAACATGTGAAGAGGGTAGTGCAAAGACACAAGTGATTTATCACATCTGTTACCTCTGGCTGTAGCAGAGATTACAGAGCACCAGCAGAGTTTAAAAGTCTTACAGCCTCTGGGAAAAAGATCCTTCCTTAGTCTGGTGGTTCTGCTCTAGATCACAGCTTCCTGCCTGAAGGGGAGTCTTTCAAGAAAGAGGAGGCAATTTCCCTGCATCTGCTGGTGACGTCTGTGGTGGTGGTGGTGGGGGCAGCTGCTACAAACAATAGTCTATGCAGCTTTCACCACCCTCAGCAGAGCCTTCCTCTCTACCACAGAGAAGCTCCCATGCCACACAATAATGCAGAAAAGCAGGACACTCTCTCCCACACATCTATAGCAAGAGGACATTTGTAAGTCTATTGCAGGGCTGATGCTTAGAGACAGGAAACCATTCACCTTCACATCCACAACTACACCAGCTGAGCTAGCATGCCTATTTTTGAACTGGAGTTGGAGGCTTGCAGAGTCACTCAGACATGCAAACTAAACACAAAGGCCCCTTTAAGAATCCTTTAAATTAAATGATGGAATTACTGAGTTATATTCCAGATGTTATTGTGACACATCTCAGGAGTATTTGAAGGCTTCGGCACATCTTAAGATAAAACCTCATTTGTTTGGGGTGATATAAAGGCAAAAAGCAAAAACGGTGCTATTTACAAGTATAGCTCAATGGTTTCAGTCTTCCCTGATTCTAGTGCATAGTTCAGAACTATATAGATTCTGCAGGCCTAGTGTTTTGATACTGACAGATGACTCCTATGAATTTAGTGAAATACATAAGAAAAGTGTAGCAGATCGTTTGTTAGTATGCACTATATCCCCTGACAGTTCTATTGAAGTAAACGGATATAACAAACAGCAAGTAAGATGTGAAAAAAAAAAAACATGTTTAATTTAAAATTAAGCTCAGAAAGGGGTTTTCCTCCCTCTTTATTGATCGTCTCCCGAGCCACACTCCATTCCACTTGGTGGCGCCCCAACGCTGGCTTGTCAACAGACATTAAACACTAAAGAAGAAGAGCTTACACGAACAGCAATGATGGCGGCCATCAGTGTAGCTCGAAGCAGTTGCGGACTGATAAATGGTTTGAAGGTGTCCTTAAGGAGCGTGGCGCGAGTAAAATATGGCGCAGTATCGGTAACAGTACCGCAGACGAGTTTGCATCGGTCGTGCCGCTGGTACTCCGTCAGCCACCTGTCCGTTAAAGAGAGGATTGACCAGAAGCGAGAGGCGGCACTGCAGGGGGGAGGTCAGCAAAGGATAGAGGCACAACATAAAAGGGTAAAATCAGCTATCGCAGACCGAGGCTGTTATTTTTTATATATTAACACATATTTCTTTTAATTGTATAATATCATATGCTTCAAATGCATTGGCAGCCAGGAGGTTGGTGCTTTAAATGTCAGGCGCAGGGGCTTGTTTGTTTTGCTGGTCTCTCTCACACCTCTTAAACAAAAGTTTATTATTATCATTGTTATTATTTGTTTTAGCCCTGAAAGGGTTAATTTTATTTAAACAACAAACTTCACAATAACAAATGTTTTTAAGGTATATGTAATGATTTATTTTATGAGATTGGGATAAACCTCTGACAATTAAACAGCTCACAAACTGGTAAGGGATTAAATAATAAGACCTGACAAATTAGGGAAGTAAACTCCTATAAAGAGGCAGCTTTGCTTATGGTATGCAACACTTGAAACATTGATCTAAAGCAACCAGACATTTCAAAACCATAGCTTTTGCAGTGTGGCAGGCAAACTTTCTGATCGGTGACATATCTGATGCATGACTGTAATAAATTTACCATTGTGATGCGGTCCAGGGTAAGCTGACAGCCAGGGAGCGAGTGCAACTACTGCTTGACCCTGAATCCTTTGTAGAGACGGACATGTTTGTGGAACACCGTTGCGCCGACTTCGGCATGGAGCAGGACAGAAACAAGGTATCAGGTCGTGCACAAATACCTCTTGCAGCAACGTGTTTCTTATTTTGCGACATTTTCAGTGAATTTTGATCATTTTTTTCTCTCATAGTTCCCCGGTGACAGCGTTGTGACAGGCCGAGGTAGAATCAATGGCAGGCTCGTTTATGTTTTCAGTCAGGTACAGTGTTCATTCATTGTACAGAAAACCTACATGTGGCAACTCGAATTTATGTGACAATCTCTTTGTCTTGCACTCTGTGTTTTTTGCAGGACTTCACAGTTTTTGGCGGAAGTCTGTCTGGAGCTCACGCACAGAAGATATGTAAGGTATACAGATGTTTCACAGTAACATTAAACATCGTGTTTGTCAGCTGTGAGCAAGTTAGCATCTGTATGGGTGTGTTTGTCTTTGGTCATTTCCTCATTTGTAACCCATTTTTGCCTTATAAATAAAGCCAGCAGCCTGTGCTCGTGGTGTCTGCTTTCTCAGAGGCATTCACCCTGGTGTTTTGTCTTCTCAGAGGCATTCACCCGTGTGCACGTTCTTTTAAAACTCTGAGTCGGTCTGCCAGTGTCTCATTTTCTCTTACTTGTGTTTGAACAAATGTCAACCCCTGACAATGTGCCACTTTTAAATCTGTGGTCAGATCATGGACCAGGCCATGACGGTCGGGGCTCCGGTAATCGGGCTGAACGACTCTGGAGGAGCTCGGATCCAGGAAGGAGTGGAATCTCTAGCTGGATATGCAGATATATTCCTGGTATTTCATTTATATATTTTTGTGCAGACCTTTTCATGTAAATCAATTTTAAAATGTCAAGTTTTGCACCTGACGATTTTTTGAGCTCAGAAGCTTGAAGCCCTAAATTCTTTTCAGTTTAACATTCCACATAAATGGCGGGAGTCATGTCCGTAAACTCATCATCAACAGCTGGTGTCGTATTTCTGACACTGTACGTGTTCTTGTTTCCAGAGGAACGTGATGGCTTCAGGAGTCATCCCTCAGATCTCCCTCATCATGGGTCCGTGTGCAGGAGGAGCCGTGTACTCTCCTGCTCTCACAGATTTCACCTTCATGGTTAAGGTATGTAGCTGACACAGTAAAATCCACTGTAGGTAAAATATTAGTTTTATGCTATTTAAGTTGCAAGAAATATGAAAAAGTCCTGAAATATTTCCAAACTGGCACGCAAATGCTATTTTGTGTTTAGAGAAGAGATGCATTCAATTCCAATAAGCACAGAAACATTTGTGTTTGTGTGTTTAGGACACGTCATACCTGTTCATCACAGGGCCTGATGTT